CATCTCAAATCAAACTTTTACCTTGTATTCGCTGCCTTGAGGTCACAGAAGTGAGTGAGTACAGTCCGGACTACATCATTACAAACTAATTTAACTATGTCAATGTTACTGAGTCGAATGCGCAATTGCTTTGTCATTTCCCAGAAATCTTCAGAGAGCATATGGTACAGATGTCCTTCATCTTTGCTGATCTTCACATACCAGGAAAGGATGTAATCCCTGTAGCTGTAGTCAAAAACTGAAAGACAAAATGATACAAGCTATGAGATTTTCTTGAATCTTGTATAGGCGATGCGCAGCTTCTTAAAACTCTCCAAATATTATTTCATGCAAGTAATCAATTTCATTGGAAATGGTATTAAGTAACGAGGTAAAGGATTAAAATGACTTCACAAGCACATTTTCTCCAAAAGTAGGATGCAAGTCTAGCCTGGAGGGGAAAAACTGGAATCTTCTCCCAGCTAAACAGCTGAAATGGTCCAAAAGAGCATGGAGAGTGTGCTGTTCCGGCAATCAAATCCTCTTGCGATAGAAAGTCAACATGCCATTTGGCTTCCTAAATGATTGCCACAACTATATGTTATAGCTTTCAAGGACATGTCAAAAGGGATCCAGGTGTTCTTCTTTACATAAACACTTCATAATTTTTCACCATTTAAGAAATACTCTGCGACTCCATTCCTCCTTCACACTTTTACAGATTATATTCCACCTGCCACACTCTTGCCTACTAACCCAGCCTGTACAAATCCCTGTGAAGCTTCCTTGTATCCTCTTGACAACCCACATTCCTACCTAGTTTTATATCATCTGCAAACTTGGAAAATCACATTTGATTATCACATCCAAGTCATCGATATAGATTGTGAGGTGCTGTGGTCCAAACAGTTTTCCTTTGGTACCCCACTCATCACAGCCTGCCAATGAGAATGAGCAATTGATTTATTCCCACACTCTTATCTTCTTTCCATGAACCAACCCTCAATCCACATCAATATATTACCCACTATCTCATGTGCTCTAAATTTGGTTACTAACCTCTTGTGGGGGTTCCTATTGAAAGCATTGTGCAAATCCAACAGCCTCTTTATCTTGCTTTCCTCCTTTGAGATGCTCTTTGAAATCCCTCTCTATGACCAAGATACTGGTAGCCTGTTTAAAGCTTTATATAACTTTGTAATCTGTTTATACAAAGTAAAATAGCCATTCCAAACACAGCAGCCACAATATAACACATCATCCAGGAAGTCCCCACAAAGTAAAACTGATCTGATCAACATCACACACAGACGCAGTAAGGAAGATGTTCAATTTAATTAGGAATTCACACTAAGTAAGCTAAACCCCAAGGTAATGAACTAATACGTACTTCCTATGCTAGATAAATAAACATCAGGTGGTGACCACGGACAGTGTATGCCTTAACTAGGCAACAAAATCCAGCCATGCCTTGCCTTGGACCAGAGTTAAGAGATATTGTTGGTTCTGGTTGTGATTTACAAAAAGAGTTGATACAGTTGATTTTTCAATAAGGCAGTGTGCAAACCGCAAAATGTTGGAGAAGTCAGCATCCCAGCTGACTGGGGCTGGTATTCCACCGTGAATCAGACAAGTACACTGCTTGTCAAGTGCCACTTCTGTTATATTTGTTTTGATAACTTAATACATTTGAAAACCTAGTCTAAACACACACACCTGGAGTGATTTTGGTAAGGCCCAGAGTCTGACAATTAACGTTAAATTGGAATTCAGAATCAGTAATAAGAATGACCTCAAAACTAGAGGTCATGTGCTGAACACCCAGGCTGTCCTGTCAGTAATGACTGTTAAGCAGTGGTCTTTATTCGCTGTAAATAGTCTGACACTGGAGACTAACTTAAGTCATTGCTCTCATCAAGCTGCAGCTATTAGCCTGTAACTGCTGTTCATCAAGATTGACATGCAGCTCACGATATCCAGGGTGTAAACCAATCCCCTTCTATCACAGACAGCGGACACACATATACTCATCCTCAACACCGTTTCATAGCATTAAATAATATGTATTTTATAATTCATACAGTGACTTTAAAAACAATTGACACAGCCATATTTTTAATCTTACACAAATGCAGGCATGAATATATTCTCTCTATAAACTTGTAGATTATGCCACCCGTCCAAGAACTTGGTGTTTTTTCTTCACTTCCTTTGGCCCACTCTCGGTGCTTAGGTCCTAAGGTGTGGAATTTTCTTCCTGTCCCCGTCCGCCTCTTTACATCATTTTCCTCCTTTAAAATGCTCTTTAAAATCGCTCTCTGGGGCCCATCTTCTGATAGCCTGGCCAAATCTGGAGCAGGTTCAGTGGTTCAGCAAGTTGAATACAATGGAAATAGGAACAGGAATAGGCCATTCAGCCCATCAAGCCTGCTCCACCAATTAATGCACTAATGGCTGATTGATCACTTCAAGTCTTTTTACTTGCACTACCTCCATAACCTTTATATGCCACTGGTAATTAGAATTCTATCAATCAATCTCTATTTTAAACAAGTTAAAAGGCTGAGCTTCCAAAGCTCTCTAAGGTGGAGAATTCCAACCATTCACAGTCCCCAAGTAAAAAAAAAAAAGACGATGATAATGGAAGGATTTCAGGATTAGGAAGAGGATCAAAATCACTCCAGGCTAAATTGCATCGAAGGCCACAAAGCCCATACAGATTCACAATGACCGGTGGCATAAATGGAGGAGTAATACTCGAGGCCACTGCAATGACAGCTGTGGTGCACTATTAGTTACAGGTTGCCATTCTGAAAATTCCCCCGTTATCCTAATTGTCTTTCAATTAGCTAGCCAATCTTCTATGCATGCTGACATTCAACCTCCAACACCAAGGACTGTTATGAAGTAACTGGACGTGTGGCAATGCTCTGAAAATCCAAGCATATTATATCCACTACTCCCCTTTATCCATCCCTCTTTTAACCTCAAAGAATGAGTAAATTTTTCAGGCATGAAGCCATGCTGTCTCTGCCTGATCGTATTATTTACTTTCTAAATGCTCAGTAATAGTTATTTTTAAAACAGTGACATTTTCCCAATAACAGACATTAAGTTAACTAGCCTATACTTAGCTGTTATTTGTCTTTTTTTTCAATAAAAGGTGGTACATTGGCAGTCTTCCAATCCTCAGACTTTTCCAGACTCTTGGAAGTTTACTACCACTGTATCTACTATCTCTGCAGCTAAGTCCTTTAGTATCCCAAGATGCATCCTATCAAGTCTGGTGGACTTACAGTCTTTAGCCCCATTAGTTTCCCTAGCACTTGTTCTCTCATGATAGTTATTTCCATTCTCTTTTGCCCCTTGATTATTTCTCAATTCTGAAATGCTATGAGCGTCCTCTACTGTGAAGACATGCAATTTATTCATCTACTCTTTTCAGGTTCCCCATTTTCATTTCCCCAGCATCATGCTCTCAGGGGCTTGTGTTCACCTTGGCTTCTCTCTTCCTTCTTCTAGATTTAAAGTTCTTGCTATCTGTATTGATGTTATTCCATGGTTACTCTCAAAGTTTAAAAAGAGTGCAAATAAGATTGATAAACATTAAAAGGAGAGCCTGGAGATTCATTTCTTCATTTTTTTTTTATTAGAAATTCTTCAGAAATGGCAAGATTGCCAGAGAAAATAAACATAGCACACAAAGGCAAAACTGCAGAATTACGTTTTTGTCAGACAACAGAATGAAAACATGAAAAAGAGATAAATAATTCAAAGCTTATCTTATGCTTTGCATTAACTGAAATATTGCATTTTTGAGAAGTAACTGAAAAACATGAAGTTAATATTGATCAAGGAATTAATAATTAATCTTCAAATGCATAGGCTTCAGTGCAGCAGATATTTATATTAGTTAAGGTGTAATGAAATGCTGCAGGGATTTCAAGTTTATGGTCCATTGTGGTTTATAGTGAACAATAATGGGAACAGGACAAATAATATTAAAAAGGCAAGGCTTAAGGCTTTGTGCCTTAATTCATGGAGTATTCATGATAAAGTAGATGAACTAATCAAGCAAATAGATAAAAACAAGCATGATCTGGTCTGGATTATGGAGACCTTAGGGTGAGGGAGTTCACAACTAGGGGGCATAGGAGAAAGATTTAAAAAGGGACCTGAGGGACAATGTTTTCACACAGAGGGTGGTTCATGTGTGTCATGAACTGACAGAGGAAATGGTAGATGCATGTACAGTTAAAACTGTTAGAAGACATTTGGACATGTAAATGAATAGGAAAGGTTTAGAGGGATATGGGCCAAACACAGGTAAACAGAACTAATTGTGTTTGGGAAATTTGGTCGTCATGAACAAGTTAGACCAAAGGGTCTGTTTCCACACTGTATGACTATGATTCCATAAAGATATCAAAGAACATAGGTACCGAGTTGGATGATCAGCCATGATCGTATTGTATGGAGGAGCAGGTGCAAAGTACCAAATGGCCTGTTCCTGCTCCTATATTCTATGTTTCTATGCCTCAACCACTGATATCCCACGGCAGCACTGCGTATCATCTAAGATACGCTGCAGCAACTCACCAACACTCCTTACAGACAGCATGTTCTGAACCTGCAATGCCTATCACCTAGGAAGACATGGACATCAGAAAAATTGGAACACCACCAGCTCTATAAGCTCCTCAACAAGCCACACACCATCCTGACTTGAAAATGGTGTCTCCTTTCCTTCACTGCTGCTGAGTCAAAATACTGGAACTTCCTCCCAAACAGCACTGGATGTATCTATACCAACAAGGCTGCTCACCACGAGTTTCTCCAGTGAAATTAGGGAGGGGCAATAAATGCTGGCCTAGCTAGCTCACACTTCCTATGAGTGAATACAAAAAGTTTCCTCAATAGCGGAGTAAATATCCTGCATTTGTGGGATTGCAATCTCTACCAACCCTGAAGTTAACAACACAAGCCAAAATGTTGCATTAGCCTCAAATATCCACAGACTTGAGCTCTTACTTGGCCATTAGTGGGATCAGCAAAACTCAGAATTGCATTATCGAACCAGTATTATTGAATAATTGTCCAATGCAGCATGTTGTGAATCAAATTACAGCAATGGAATATAAAAGGCATGATACAACTGCTTTTATAGATGAATTCAACTTACAACTGGGACCAACCCAAGTTGTCTTCTGTCTTCCCACCCCAGCCTTCAATATACAAAAGTTGCCTTTTGATAATATT